TGATGATGATGATGATGATGATGATGATGATGATGATGATGATGATGATGATGATGATGATGATGATGATGATGATGATAATAATAATAATATTAATAATTTTAATTAATGATAATAATAATAATCTAACCAGATAATATTGTGAGGTATATTTATAATATATTTCCACGTGGCAGGGTACCCGATTTTAGTTTAGGACTTGGTCTAAGTCTTCTCCACCTATTAAAAATAATATGAATAATGTCAATTCTAATGAATACTCGTTATACTCTCAGCAATGCTCCACAAAAGTAAATTTTTTTAGGGATATTGTTTATCATGAGATCGCGCATTCCTTTGAGTACGTTGCACAAATTCGTTTCTACATGAAATTGTCTGTCTACCTGTCTGTCTGTGTTGTCTGTTTTCTGTCCTATAAGGGTATGTATGAATATATACGTGTATATAGAGACTAGACGCGTTCTCCTAAAGATGGTGGACTTCTCGATAATAATAAATCTAAGGAGAAAGACTGTTGGTTGAATTGTTCTTCTTATTTCTCATTCTATACCTTCTCTCTTTCTCTTTTTTTTTTTTTCTCTATATCCCTCCACCCCCTTTTTTATCTTGTTATGTAAGGATATCAGAATAATTCGACGACTGTCCGTAATAATAAAAGTAGTAATACATTTGTTTATATAAAATAAAAAAAATGATGCGCGTAAAACGTACGTACAAACGAGTCAAATACTGACTGATCTTTGGGATAAACCGGTGGTAGGTAAAGTACACGTGTCTCTGTGTCTTCCTTGACTAGCACAAAAAGTTATTAAAGAAAGTTATTACAGATTATAAATGATTAGAAACGACGTAATCTCTCAGCTACGAGAATCTCTATCTTTTCCTTATTCTCTTTCCGATGTAACGTATGTTGCATTTTTGTCCGCATTAACCCTTTCAATACCAACGCCGACACTAGTCGGCATCCACATAACGAGCTGTGGATAACATTGATACGAGATATCAATGTTAAGATTGCGATGTAGGATTATGCGTCACACCTTGTTTTAAATTATGTATCACACGATTATAAACTGTAGGTGAACACGTGACACGTATTAACAGCTGGACGTAACATATGTCACTCTATCTGTAATATAGATACATAGAGAAGATATATTGTATATATATATTGTAAAATGTATGTGTATAATACATACAAATATATATGTATATATATATACACACACTACGTACATATAATATATATCTTTTCTCGCACTCACTTCACTCTTTCGCTCGCTCAATCGTTCATTCGCTCATTCACTCTCTCAATCATTCTCTGTTTAGTTTTCGGCTCTTTCTGATTCAACAGTGAAGACCATTAGACAGTTTCGTAATATACTCGCTTAAATAGTAAGGATTGTTAAGAATTGAACTAGATTTAAGTACGTAAAACATGGTTAGCAATAGCAGCCCACTCATCTCGAACTTTTACTTATGCGAGCCCTGTCCCGTTCTTCTTTCTTCCATTTTTTTTCTTTTTCTCTTTATTTTTCCTTTTTATCTACACTTTACTTGAAAAAGCAAACTGACGTATCGATCTTTTTGACTTTACCGCCTTAACAACGTTCAACCCCTCTTTTTTATCTGTTTTGACGGATAATTAACTTTTTACCGACTTTTTCGACAATTTCCACTCATTTACTCATTCACTCACGCACTCATTCATTAATTCACTTACTTATTCACTCACTCATTCACTCACCCATCCATTCATTCATGCATTCACTCAATCCATTTATTCATTCATCACTCATCCACTAACTCGATAGCTTTCTCTCTCTCTCTCTCTTTTTGCAAAACGGGCAAGAAAACGACGCTGATTTGATTAGAAGTAAAAATGGAACCAGAGAAAAGGTAAAGAAGTAAGAGAGAAACAGAGACAAAAAAAACATTCGATCGAACTTTACATTTTTTAATCTCATTTCGTCATCCCTCCACATGAACTCTCGGTAACGATTTTCAGCCTTGTTGGAATATGTTAGCAGTTTACTTCATTGATTCTTGATAAACATCTCCTATCTTTTCTTTTCTCTCTCTTTATTTCTTTTCCTGTTCTTATAAACGAATTCTCCATGCCGTTTTCTTGATCTTTAACGCATACTTCCATTCACATACTGGTACACACATGCACACGACATTACGCTTTTTCGGTCTGCTGCTGAAGTTGCTTCTTGTTGTTGACCATCTGTTGGGTAGGCTTGTTTTTGAAGGAGATCTGCTTCTGTTGCGCGTTATGTTGCTGTTGCTGATGTTCCTGAGGCGGCCATCTTGAGTGCGTTAGCTCATGCCAGCGCGAAGGCAAGCGCTGGAGAGAAAAGGGCTGCTTAGGATGACCCTGCTTCTGAGAGCTTGTTGAACGATGGAGAATAGTGTTACTGCCAGGAGGATGATGATTGTTACTACTCCTACTGGCGGCACTATTGTTCCCAGCAACATGACCGCCAACGGCATGAAGCTGTTGGTGTTGTTGCTGATGATTGTGATGATAGTGGTGGTGATGGTGCTGCTGTTGCTGTTGGTGGTGATGTTGGTGGTGGTGGTGGTGGTTGTTGTGGTGTTGTTGTAGTTGCTGTTGCTGCTGATGATGATTGGTTCTCTTGGTGTAGACATGAGCTGGTAAAGTTACCGGAAGCTGTGCCACCGTACGTAAGAGTCGCTCACGATGATCGTAGGCTGCTGCTGCTACCGCTACCGCATCCGCCGCAGCGGCAGCTACCACTGCCGCCGCAGCTGCCGCTGCTTGTTGTTGTTTGCCCTACGCGGTTTTGCTTTTGTTCGTCTTGAAGCTAACCTGAAGCACGCGATTGCCAAGGGTATAACCGTTCAGGCTCTGAATAGCCACCACCGCCTCTTCGTAATTGGTCATCGTTACGAAACCAAAACCCTTGCACTTGTTTGTCTGAAGGTCCCGGATAACCTTTACCGACTGGACGGCGCCGAAAGGACCGAAGAGCTGCCACAGGACGTTCTCCTCGGTCTCGGGTGCCAGATTGTAGACGAAGATGCACCAACCGGAACCATTCATTGCGTTACCCGGCAGCATCGAGTTCGCAAGGAGGTCACCCGCCAACGGACTGTACCTGCAACACCGTTCCATCGTTCCGATCAAACGGACGCTCTTGTCCTTCAACATTTTATTTCATTTCTTTTCCTTTCATAGCCAATAGTATGATACAGTGAAATTACGTTTCGTGTTGAGCCATTTTGCCGATAGAATCGCGAGCCATATGTTTCTGCCACAAATACTTAACCCACGTATATATATATTTGTTCACATATATAACTATTTTTTGACAAAAAGACAAACAACACGAAAATGTTAAGGATCATCAACGAACTGGATATTTTTCAATTTTAACACTAAATGAATCCCCTAAATCAATCTAATAAACAGTTTTTAATTTTGAGTTAAAATTCTACATTAGACGCTATACGGTCTTTGTTCACTTAACTTTATAACAATTGTAATTATAAATGTTTTATTGTATTTTGTATCAAATAATTATTTTATTAACTATTTAAATCAATACCAAATCGACTATTTTCTGAGTTTATTTGTATAAAATATAATTTTTTATAACACTGGTTACGGTATAAGCATACATAAATTATTAATAGATTTAATATTAAAAAAAATAGCGAATAAGTTATGTCTTTACTTGAAATAGTCAATCATGATTTATCTTGCAAATTAACATAATAATTGGAGAAGAAAAAAAGGGTAGGTACTTTTTCTAACATCACAATTCTATCTTTGTACAAACTTTCAAAAAGTTTCTACCCTCGTTTCCTCTCTCTCTTAAAGGTTAAAAATTTTACAAAAAAAACTTGAGATTAAAACTGCAACTATCCAAAATAAAAACGCACCTCTCTTTTTACGCTATACTTCAAAGAAGTACTGCATATATATAAACATAAAACAAATGAACACGTGTGATAATACACGATTGTTACGACGAAAAAGGGCTAAAAGAAAAACTAATAAAAAAAAATTAGAAAGAAAAACGTACTCTCCCAAACGAGCATGCAAATTTATTAACGATGAAGTAGAAGAATAGATCACTCATGAAAAATATAAACTTTATGAGGATAACGTCCTCCGCAACGCTCTCGTACTCCAATTTTTCAAATTCTAAACTAATTCTATACTCCAAATTCTAAAGCTAAGAAAACTACATAAAAACTATTTCATTTTTTTAATATATAAAAAACGGAGTACGAATGTCTTCGTCGGATGCATCCTGCGGGAAGGAGTTACATAAACGTTTTCTTATAGAATTAAAGAAGAACTCAAAAAGAAAGTAGGAAAAAGAAAATTATTTGGAAAGAAGAACAAGAGAAGAAATTTAAAAAAAATATTTTAAATTAAAAAAAATTCTATCATTAACACATGCAGTCTGCGAAGAAGAGATAAAAAAATACACACAATATTTTACTATATTACACAATATTTATAAATATTGTTCTTTTTATTTTTTTTTTTATTACAAAGAAGAGAAAAAATATGATCAATCGCGATATTGAATATATATTTACAAATGTTTTAAAAGAGTACGTACCTACTTGACGTCACAAGCCGCGTTAAAACAGGGCACATCTCGGTGAGTATTGAATATTAATTACCGAGATTACAATTAACAATTAACTATGCATCTGACATCGAATGAGAGGTCATTAACGTTGAGACATTTGAAATATAAAAAAAATATTCGAAAAACAAACACGAGTGGACTACCAACACACACCCTTCTTCTTCCCGGTACGTGAGCGTGCACAAATGTTACTAGATATACAGGGTGGGTCACCACATTTTACCATCTAGATTTACGTTATTATTATAACGCGTAGCAGACAATGTTTCACATGGAGTATAATAGTTTTAAAAGGGTTTCATACTGATAGTACTTTTTTTTGTAGGTGGACGTGTAAAGGATATATGAAGGTCATTAATGTTTTTTTAAACGGAATCATATATTTTTTATTGCATCATCTGATGCTTTTTCATATTATTTACAAAATAGTATTAACCTATTTATGTAAAAAAATTATTACTTTAGGAGATATTTTAATTTTTATGTCTATTTACAAAGCACAAATACCATTCATATCATGTATCAAAGGTTCAAGAACTGACCGCAAATGACTGTTATCAACGTTTAGAATTTTGTAATTTGGCTCTCACTCAAAGAGACAACTTTTTCAGCAATGTTATATTCACGGACGAAGCAACGTTATGAAAAATGAATCAATGAATTAAGGAATGCCCATTATTGGTCAACGGAAAATTCTCATTGGTTTAGACAAATGGATAATCAACATCGATGGAGTGTAAATGTTTGGATGAGCATACTCAGCGATAAACTTATTGGTCCATACTTTATCAAAGGATCACTAATCGCACCAATATACAAATTTTTTATCAAACACTCTATGGACATTTTTAGACTATTTACCATTGCATAGACGACAAATAATGTGGATACAACAGGATGATTGTCCTGCTCATTATTCAAGAATAGCAAGAGATACATTAAATCAAATGTTCCCAAATCGTTGGATAAGACGAGGTGGGCCCATTCATTTTTCGGTTAGATCACCAGATCTAACGCCCCTCGACTTTTTCTTATGGGGCTACTTAAAAAATAAAGTTTACACTGAGCCTCCGACTACAATGGCCGATATGAGGGATCGTATCGTCAATGAATGCAAGAAAATAACATCAGATACATTAAGAAACGTTAATGAATCATTAATTTCTCAATTCAGAAAGTGTTCTGATTCAAATGGTCGCCACATTGAACCTTTTTTGTAAATAGACATAAAAATTAAAATATCTCCTAAAGTAATAATTTTTTTACATAAATAGGTTATTACTTTTTTGTAAATAATATGAAAGAGCATCAGATGATGCAATAAAAAATATATGATTCCGTTTAAGAAAACTTTAATGACCTTTATATGTCCTTTACACGTCCACCTACAAAAAAAAGTACTATCAGTATGAGCCCCCCTTTTAAAGCCATTCAACTCCATGTGAAACATTGTCTGCTACGCGTAATAATAATAACGTAAATCTAGATGGTAAAATGTGGTGACCCACCCTGTATACGTGTATTTTTGTATTTAAAAACTTCGTGAGATAGAATTTTGTGTTCACGCGCGCGCCCGCACGAGTAGTTTGCTCAAACCGGAAATGGATCATCCTCGTTAGAAGGACTCTCCAGGGGGTGAGAAGACTCTTACGAAGGAACATGACGAAATAAGAATCATAGTATATGAATAAGTATATTCGTCGTGAATACTTTAAACGAAAATATCATTTTTAATGAAGATTCTTTTTTTTATGTTATTTAACCCTTCACACTTAGAAATTATTTAATTATATGTCCTTCCACCAACTCGATAATTTTAAATAAAGTACAGCACGATAAAATTTAACTAACTTTTCATTGAAAAAATAAAATCCTTAAAGTTTATTATTAATACATTGATTTATAGAAAAAAAAGGAAAACTTTTAATTAAATACTTATGTCAACTATTTTGAAATTTCGAGTTGCTGAAATAAATCATCACATTAATTTTACTGGCATACGAGTACAAAGGGTTAATAATATCGATCTTTCTTTGCGTTATTGATTAACTAGTGTTAACTAGAACTACCACACCAGTAATCTTGACTGGTTGGTCTTTGACTTGATTTGGTATCAAGAATATTTTGATACCAAATATTTTTCAGCATTGTACTTATTGTTATTATTATAATTGTTATTATATAGTTTGTAAGATTTCAGAACATGGAGTTCCTTTTGTAAAATAATAATATGTCAATAAATATAAAAATATTCTACATTTACGTCTTTTTTAAAAACCAGTCATTTTGACTGGTTTCGGAAGAGATAGCAACGTCTCAATTGTCGGTAGTTCTAGTATAATTATCGGTAAATCGCATTTCCATGAAAACTTTAATAAAATCTTCCTAAAGTTCTTAAAACTCGTATAGGTCTTATAAATGTTCATTTTATTAGATCAAATCAAATAATTTCTTATGATTCAATAAATTTTCTTACAATAGGTTTAATATTCATTTTAAATATTATTTAAATTTTTATTATCGTTTAAAATTGACATTGTTCCTTCGCTTGATTGGCCCAACAAATTACTCGAAATTGATTGAATTACTACTGCAACAATACGTCGGAATCTGAAAGTTTCCTCTAATCCAGGGCTCTTCTTTTTCAAAAATTAATTACAGTATCTACTTTTAACGAAAATACTTTACAAAAAATGCCCATACATCATATTATGCTCTTAAACATTTGCTTTATGGAATAAACACTATTTAAATTGAATTCCGTTAATCGAATTTTTTCTCATTAACAAAATGTTTTCGATAAAATTAATCAAACTTACAAATAAAAATACATATTTACAGAATCTTTGAATGACTGATATCATTCAAAATTTCTCAGCAGGGAATGTTCTTTCCTACATTATTGCAAAAAACGACTAATATGAACAGCAGACTAACAATCAAACTAACGAACGAACGAACGAACGAACGAATAAACAAACCAACAAGCAAATAAACAAACAAACAAACAAAAAAGGAAATAAACGAATTAAGAAATGAAACCTTGTTTAACATTGTATATACAGATAAAACAATAATCATAAATGATTTAACCGCATCACACAATACACAAAAAAAATAAAAAAGATTTTCAAGAAATAATTTGCGGGGGGGGGATGAAACAAGAATTAAGAGACATTTTACTACCGATTAATTGATATCGAATGCAAAATAAAATAATAACGCGATCTACAATGGAGCTACTACTAGCAAAGGTAAGAAAAGGATAGAAAAAACATGTATGTAAAAATAGTATGTATGCACGTGAGGTGAAATAAAACGAATAAGGGAAGAAATAACGAAAACAAAAAAAAATAAGAAGAAGCCAAAGAAAGAAAAAAAAAGAAAAGAAATAGAAGAAAATGTAACACACCGTGTAAGAGGTTTGTAGCTTTCCATTTGCCGGCACACTCGACATAGATTCGAGTAGCTTGGTTCGCAAAAAAAATAATAATAAAAGGAAAGAAAAGAGTAAAGAAAGGAAAAAAGAGCCCCGGGGTCATCGTCGACCGTATTAGCTGTACCGTCGTCGCGTGCATGTAAACTGGAGAGCATCGTGTGGCATACTCGTGAGAGAAAAAGTACGAAGTGTGATACAAGTATAGTTTAAAGAAATAAGAGAAAAAGAGAGAAAGAGAGACAGAAAGAGAAAAAAACAGACAATCAGACAATCGGACAATTAGCCAATCAGATAGATAGATAGATAGATAGATAGATAGATAGATAGATAGATAGATAGATAGATAGATAGATAGATAGATAGATAGATAGATAGA